TATTTGCTAAGCAGTGCTGTAAAATTGTTTCCTACTCAGAAATTGTGCAGATACAACTGTTCTGGAGGCACCAGACACAGCTGGAACAGAGCAGACTGGAGAGGATGGCCCTGCACAGCCTCTAATGCACACTGCTCAGCCAGGCTGTCACTCTGTTTACCCACAGCTCTGATCCTTATGCTCAGGTAAACAAACACCAGAGCCTTCTGTTTTGTGGGCTTGGTTATTCTTGTTTGGTTTGGGTTTTTTTTTTAATTTTAAAAGCATTCTATTTCACTGTACACATGATAATTTCCTCAACTCTTAATTCCACAGAAAGAAGCATAATGTCTGATTCAATAGATGTTCACATGCAATTCATAGCTTTCCCAAGCTCCTGGATATCAGGCAAGACATGGTATTTTAAAATATGTGAACATGAGACAAATAAGCATGCGAGTATTTTCATTGCCAGAGCCTTCCACTATATCTTCTTGCTAAGAGAAAAATAAGAACACTGTCTACTGTATTTTTTCTTTCCTGACACAGGAACATTCTGGTTTTGACATATATAAACCAAAAGGAAAGGCCTCAGATGTCTTGATAATCCATCATGTTCATTTCAAAGTTTTACAAAAATATACAATTCAGATAGATATGTCAATAAATAGCCTGATAGACCACAGATAATTCCATATTCATAAGGGAACTGTCCCATTTATGTGTAATTTTTTCTGACCAGCCAGTTCACATAATCACTCTAAACTATTTAAAATGTTAAAGATTTAAACTATTAAACTTTGAATTATTGTTAGTTATCACAATTTTTATCAAACTTACTGTGTGTCATTCTTTTAGTAAATAAATAAAACAATAAAATTTGGAAAGAATACCTGGGAAAAAAAGGAATATCTGATTCACCAAAAATAAAATTTAAATATTTGTACAATATTGTCTGTTAAATATCAAAATTTTTTGCAGTGATTTGAAAACTTAGTATCTTAATTCTCCTTATTTTAAGTATTTATTGCTGTTTTCTGTTACCTGTATCTAGAATAAACTATTCTCTATCATTTGGGGAAACCTCTCAACAAAAATCCTGCAGTGCACTATTTTCAACCCAATTAGTTAATTTCTGCTCTTTTCAAGTATTTGTAGAATGACTTATACCCAGGTTCCTTTATGAAATTCAATCATTCATTCTCAAATAGGAGCCACACCTCCTAAAATCTCAATACCTTCTGACACAAAGAGTAGCCCTGGCTGTGTTCATGCACCTTGTTTTGCTTAGACATCATCACATCCTCAGGCTGGAAACTGATCTGTGAAATATGATTTTGATGTTCATATTGCACCGACTCTCAGTCATTCTTAAACTTTTCTATGCTCTCAAAACTGTCACTAATTCAGGTATGATCTGGAGAAGAGACTACACTTGCAGAGCTTAAAATCATTTCCCATTAACCCAGTTATATATTTCTAATGACTACTGGAATTGCTAGAGAAACCCATTGGCAAATCTGCTCTGAATTATTGACAATAACATAAAAAACCCTTTAAGTGAGCTATTACAATAAATCATGTCAGCTAAGGGTGCTAGAAAGTTACAGAAGAAAAAATCAAAACTGGTGTAAATTTAGTTTTAATTTTATTAAAAAATAATTCATTTCAGACCAGACTAAAACATATAAGCTTCAAATTTCTGGTAAAATATCACTTTTTAGTAGCAAATGTCACCTCAAATATGACAGGCATCTTATATCATGCATGTACTGTGATCTAATATGCAGCTGGTACTAACACACCCCAGGTATTTGCATTAAAAACTCTATTTTTTAGTTTTCTGATTATCAAATTTTCCCTTTTATTAGTAGTTAAAAAATAAGTTTGTGTTTCACAACTCTCATACAGATGTGTATGATATCACAAATTTCTTTTTGAGTAGCAAGCAGCATAATTCCAGAAACTGGTTTGTTGAAGCCTTACATGTTTCAACAGGATACAGGATAAGCAGTGACCTTTCAAAGTGAAAAGCAAATTGCCAAACAATCACAATTGTCAAATCATCCAGTGGAACACCCATTAAGTTCATCTTCAATCAGACTTCCTAAGAATTGCTTTATCTCCATCTGGACTGCTACCTTTTGACCTTGGTCTGCAGCCAATTCTGCTCAGTAACCTTTACACCATGTTAGTTATTCCCTTTTCCCACCTGATCTCATTAGAAGCAACTTTCTTCCTGTTTTGTTGGAGAAATAGGAAATCTGCTCATCCAGTGTGATGCAGTCCAAGACACTCACTGCCAATAAAACAATCAAGCTGCAAAATGTTAGGGAAATTGGAAAAGGCCAAGAATAACATTACAGAAAATCTGAAGTGATGGAAAATAAGAGAAATAATAGAACCCTGATAATTAAGCAGCATTATGGTGCTATTATCACTTATTTTTTTACCTTTCCCTTCATATTCCCACTGGCTGAGATACAGATGCTGTTTTCAAGGATAATATACCCATAGTCTGTTGCCATAGATGAAACTGACCTCTTGGAGAAAACACCAAACTTCTGCAGCCTGCCTAAAAACCCTGCAAATCTCCAAATGCAAACCAAGAGGCAGTTATCTATTTTCCCCACAGAAGGGGCTCCTATATATGTCGTCTTGTCCCACAGCATGGCAAGGATAACCTCTCGTTGTCTGTGACCCCCTCCCCAGCTGCTGGCAGTGCTGAGCGAGCTGTTCTCTGGTCAGAGCACCCCGCAGCCTCTCCTCAGGCCTGGGTGCTGCCTCTCCCCACGGGTGGGTGCTGCCTTCACCATCATCTGGAGCCAGCAGCTGCCACTGACCGGTCTCGCCTGCTTCTCTTTCAGTTCTTAGGGCTGTCAGGGAACTGGCTGGCATAGAAAATTAGTTTTTCTTTGGCTAAAGATTATCCTGCTATCCCGTTCTTCCCTCTAAGTGAGATGTAGCCTAGTCACTGGCTTTTGATTCTTCTGAGAGTTACAATATTTATTTAATCTTTTTAACTTCCTTGTTAAGAATTTTTTTCAGACTATCCCTTTTTATCTCTTTTCCTAGTATAGAAAGGGAGTGTATTTGAATTCTTAGATTTTTTTTTTTTCACACAGAGAGAATACAATTTCCTGTCCACATTTTCCTGTAACATTTAACTTTTAATCCTTTATCACCACAGATATGATGCTATAATGTTCTAGGTATAAATTTCAATGACCAAACAGGCAAGTGAGTAAAGGTCTATACAGAAAACAAGAAGTAAAAATTATTTTTATTGATGTCATTCTTTCATAAATATCATGTTGTAGCAGAAGGAGTAGCATCACAGAATATGTGAATTACATTAATTAACTGAAGTTTAGATAGCAGTCATGAATAACTCAATATTTCTATTTAGGTGAGTTAAGATCTGAAACTTAAGTTAAGAAGTAATAAAAAGTATTTTGCAAAATAAAGTATGTTTAACAGATATGCAGAAAGTAGAAATTATACAGAAAAAAGATTATTGTAAATTCAGCTGGATCTGTTAACCTGTGGGAAAACAAATTGAAGGGAGAGCATTCATTAATATTTGAAACAACAGAGCTTGAAGGAAAGGAGTCCTGGTAAACAGTCCTGCAGCAGAAAGAAGATGAACTGGTGGACTTCATATTAGGCAAGACAGATGTAAATTTCTTGCCTTTTGAAACCGCTTATTTTAATGTGTTTATGTCACAGTACACTTTTGCAGTTACATTTCTGGAAGGGTAGCTGTTGCTGTTGAGTGGACATCCAGCAGCACTGACTACCATTTCACTGTGCTTCACCTGCCTCTCACGTTCTCAGCTCCACTCACACCTTCCCTGCATGAATTCCTACCCCCAACACATGGCTTTACCCTCCTGGTTTCCAATTTCCTCTGCCACAACTGGGCCACCTCTTTTAAAGACCCGAATTTGGCAAAGCCAGTGTCTAAAATAACATTTTCCCTGACCAACCCCCCACCTTGTCCCTTAGAAACATGCACCTGCCCACAAGCTGAGTGGCAACTCACATTAGTGGGAATCTGCTCCACTTTATGTCTTTTCCATTGAAGCAGGTCTTTTAAGGGAAGTAATCTATTTGTTGTGTCACCAGTTGCTTTTGCAGTTGAATTTTTTGCTGTTTTTTCAACTTGAACCTTACAAACCAGTATAGGAAGGCGTGAGCTGGCTGCTGTAATACCCATCCAATATTAGCTATGTAAGTTAGGCAGATAGAGAAAGCTGAGAGTGCTCTTCAGACATGGTACCTCCATGTCCAGGAAACCCGCTCAGTAAGAGATGTATTCCCTTCTGCTGCTTCTTCTGGGAGCTGACAGACACCCCTCAAGGCTGCCCTGTGTCCCAGTCTGAGGTGCTGGACTCCTTTATGAGCTGTGTAGGTCATGCAAGTGCTTCATGGCAGCTTCCTAGGCTCTCAGGACTGCATGGCAACACATAGTGCTTAGAGAAGTAAATCCTTTGTTGAACCTAGATTGACACCTGTCAGACACTAATATTCTTTAGTGCTACCTTATCTTGGCAAGTCAGAGAGAAAAGATGAGATGACATCCCCTCTCAGAGAACAGCAGTTTTTACCTATGCCCATTCCCCTCCCATGTCAATGTCTGCATTTATATGAGGCATATTTTCCCTCCAAATTTTAACGGGGATTTATGAAGACCATCTTTGCTGGTTGTTGGTTGTTCTTCTTTTAAAGTCAAGTAAGTCAAATTTAACAAATACAGGTCCCATTCATAAGCAGCGAAGTGTATAAACCACTGCAAATCACGCAATGAAGGGAGCAGTCCAAGTTTACACTCCAGAGATTACAGCAGCAAAGGGATGGTTCAGGAAGTTTCTGCTTCCTTCCTAAAGTAGGTAGAAGGTTACAAATTAATCTCAAAAGAGTTTATAAGTCTTCAAAGAGTTAATGAGTAGGTTAAAACTGCCTGTTTCTCTTAATTGTCTACAGGGGAGTTGTAGCATATAAAGTACCCATACATGAACATGAGAAGTACAGCAGAGAGAGCCAGCAAACAAACAGCAGACAGGAACAAAGTGCTGTGTTTTCTGCGAAGGATGCCTAAAGGTCTTTTTACTTTAATTCGTCTTTTTATGCTCTTACTCAGTTTCTCCACTATTTGCCTGGGAGTACTTTGCATGTCCATGAATTCCTCCATGTGCAGATGTGGGAACAACAAGCTAGTGTTTTATTGCCTGTTAGCTTTGGGGCTCTGTCTCCTTGTTACTGCTATTTTCTGGAGCACTTTCCATGAAGTCCTGAAATACAGGGCCCTTGGCATCTTCATTCAAAATCCCAGCCACAGAGAACCACATGTCTGCACCATAGACAGGTATGTGTTGCAGATTAATTGGGAGGGAGGGATGCTTTTTTTAACATACTGTGAAAAGAAAGAAGCAATGCAAGGTTTTTACAAAATGCAAATCCTGTAGCCATTTTATTATTTTTCTGTGGAGAGAACTGTAGTCTGAAATTTTATTTGCTATAGCAAGCAGCAATGTGCAAACAGCCATTCATGCAAACAATACCTAAGGTAAGGTATACTACCTGAAACAGAGAAAGTTTCAAACTTCCCAAAGCTTCCAAAGCCATGCATGGAGGCAGCAGGTGCAGCTATTCCAAATTCACCAGGAGCATACTGAGTTCCATCTCAGCAGGCAATTTAGGATGCTGCTGGGGGATGGGCACTCATGTAGAGAGAAGCTGAGATATGCAGGGGGCCTCCACTCATTCATTTTATGGCTCCTATGGCTTAAATTGTATTGTCTGATTGTCCCCCCAATTTAAAAACCTCAGGAAATTCAACTAGGCTAAGCACAAGGTTCTGCATCTGGGTTGGTGCAAATTGAAGCACAAACACAAGCTGGGCAGAGATTGGTTTGAGAGCAGTCCTGGGGAGAAGAACCTGGGGGGCTTCATTGATGAAGTAGGTCAATGTGACCCAGCAGTGTGCACCTGCAGCCTAGAAAGCCAAATATGTCCTGGGCTGCATCCAAAGAAGTGTAACCAACAGGTTGAGGGAGGGGATTCTACTCCTTGGCTGTGTCTTTGTGAGTCCCCACCTGGAGCATTTCATCCAGATCTGGCATCCTTGGCACAGAAAGGGCATGGACCTGCTATAGTGGGTCCAGAAGAGCACCATGAAGATGATCAGGGGAATGGAACACTTCTCCTGCGATGACAGGCTGAGAGACCTGGAATTATTCAGCCCCAAGAAGGTTCCAGTGAGTCTACAGCATCCTATGTACATGAAGGGAACTTACAGGAAAGATGGACAGGGACTTCTAAAAGAACATGTAGTGACAGTACAAGGGGGAATGGTTTCAAATGGAGAAAGGATATGTTTATATTACATACTGGGGAAAAATGCTTTACTGTGAGGGTGGAGAGGCACTGGAGCAGGTTGCCCAGAGAAGCTGTGGCTGCCCCATCCCTGGAAGCACTCAAGGCGAGGCTGGATGGACAATCTGGTCTAGTGGAAGGTGGCCCTGCCCATGGCAGGAACTGAATGATCATTAAGGTCCCTTCCCAAAACATTCTGTGACCCTATAACTTTGTTCTTTACAAAGTCTGATGCTTTGAGAGAGACAGTTTCTTAAACTGCACTAGACCTGGCAAAACTCTTTAACATGGTCACTGGATACAAATTTCTTTTCCTGGACTGTTGTGGAAACCATACTAGAAACACTGAGAATGGGTGTTCTAAAGGCACTATAAAAGCAACATTCAGTAAATTTTGGTTAGATAAGCAGAAACATACCAAATTTATTTTTAAACTGTGGAAAACAATGGTTATTGCAATAATAAATAACTTTGAACACTGATCTCATTCTTCTTCCAAATTAAACTTTTCTCTCACTTGTTAAAATACTCACAAGCATGAGTGTTTGTATGCCATGGTTGGGAATTTTCACAGGGAAGGCTTGTCTTTTTAGAGTGCTGTGTTTTAATAAAACATTTTGTACAAAGGCGAGGCAAATTATACCAGTTATGTCTACATTTTACATTAATGTATTTAATTCTTTAAACACACTTAGATGTCTGTTTACAGTTAAAACCTCATCTAAATTTTGGAAACATAACAGACGAAGCATCTAACCAAGCTCTGTGAGATAAATCACACTTCACCATAATGTGTTTCTTTTTGGCTTGCTTATTTTAGGCCTGACTTCTATCCTCCCTCTTATGAAGACAGCATAGATCCTGAAAAACTGGTCTCCCCACTGTCAGTTGCCTCCACAATAAAGCAGCAAGAATTCATCAATATTCCTCCACCTCCATACAGTGAAAGCAGCGCAGAGTTTGTCAGTGTAACAAATGAGCAGGAACAGCCACCACCATACACATTATGTCTGGAGCAACAGCAAACAGCTGGCCAAGACCCAAACTCCGGAAGGGGGTTAAATTCTCATAGATTCATGCAAGAAATCAGTTGCCAACAGGATACAGATTTCCAGAGGACCTCAGGAAGAGCAACACCTGTCAAAACATGAGAGACTGGCAGCCAGTAAAATCCTGCATCTGCGAAGCAGGGAAAACTGGAAGAAGACTTGTCAGTGATCCCTAATAGTAACACTACTTCAGGTGAAATTGCACAGAAAAAACATTCATCATTTGTGACTTAGAGTGGAGTTGGATGGGATATTTAAAAGTGCTCAGTATTTCAAATTAGAATAAATCTCCAGAGAGATAGAAATTCTCAGGCTGTGTCTAATAGAAGTCACCATCTCTGGCAATAGGAGTTTCTTACACTGCAAGATAAATGAAGCATCATGGTGTTATCAATCTTGACTTGTACTTCATAAGGAGTTTCAAAAGAAAGCTCTCATTTTTGGTTTTGAGACATTAACTGACTTGGGAAACCTATTAACTTAGCTTTTGTTTGAGATTTGCAGATTATTTGTTGCAACTGATTATTTTTGTATTGTATGCCTTTCAAGTTATTTGTTTTATGTGGGGGGTAAAAAGAACTGCTATTTTACTAGTGAATTCATTAATAAATTTCGTATTTAAAACAAATGCCTTGAATTTGTTTGTATGATACAAGGTGCCTATGATTCAGGATAAGGGCACAATAAAATACATCACCTAGCTGCCAAACAGAGAGCTCTGGTTATGCTTACATGTCCTCAGAGGGAACTATCAATTGCAGGAGGAAAAACCGTCTCTGATTCTTCTGAGCCAATTCTAAGAGCATTTGCTTCTGTCACAGCTTACTCAAGAGTGTGGGAACTGAAAAAGGGACCCTGTATCCTGTTTCTGGCACAAGTGGCTTCATAATTACACAACAAACACCAGAAAAAGGACAGGCTTGGACTCATCCTTCTTCTGTTACATGGATCCTTCCTCCCACAAAATCACTGAGGCAAATTTGCATTCAGGCCACTGTCATCTGTAATTCCAGATGGCAAGAAAAATTTCATGAGGGTTCACTCAGATTTGAACTTGTAATATTTATTTTGGATAGAATTTTTCTTTCTGGGTTGGAAGATTTGGATTGGAGATCATTTAGTTCAAGCCCCTGCAACGAGCAGGTATATCTTCAATTAGATGAGGTTGGTCAGAGCACTGTCCAACCTGACCTTGAATTTTTCCAGAAATGGGACATGAATCACCTCTCTGGGAAACCTGTTCCTGGTTTTGTTACAGACCAGTGAAACAGAAAAGCTATCACACTTTCCAGATGTTCACATACTGGAAGTCTACAAGTTAAGCATTACAGCTGTACATGTGTGGTAGCCATGGCTAAGGCCAGGGAACTGACAGCTGCATCAGTTTTGTCTTTCAAAGAATTTCATCCTTTATGGGAAGAACACACAGTTCTTCAGTTGTTGTAAGTAAAAAGAAAAGAAGAATAAAAAGGGTTGGACAAGCTACAGAGATGAAAAATCCTTTCAGGACAAGTTTGGGATGAGAAATGTAAAAAAGTACCCAGAGGGAGAAAAAAAGAGTCCCTGAAAGAGACAGAAGATATATTTTTCAAAGTGACTGAGAAGCAGCACACCACAGAGAACAATAAAAATCAGAGGAACACAACACATTATTTCCAAAACAGTTAAAGAGAGGCTGCTTGAGTGACCTTATTACAGCTTTACCTTCTAGCATTACCACATCCATCCTCCAAAATCTCCAGCTTCTTTACTCCAGAGTCCCAGATTCTGAAGGCAGCCAGCATCATGCAAGTATTAGTGCAGCCATCAATCACAGCAGGTAAGACTGATTAACCAGGAGACATCCCACAGCAAAATCCTTGTCCTCTGTATGTTTAGCTTCCCCCCACCCCTGTGGAAATCTAAGTTTTATACTGGGTGATATTAAACCAAGACTGAGAGTGGAAAATGGCTGGGACTACAGTTCTGGGTCATACTAAGAGCAAGAATTGCAGGAGTATCACTGAAGTTTGCTCTTGGTTTGCTATTGGAAATGCATTCAGAGCATGTCCACATATATTTATGAACAGCCAGGAAGTTCTTTCCTTTCTCCCAATTCCACAAGAGTCCTGCAGTGCCCCTTTATAGCGCCAGCCCTTTTCAGATGTTGTGAGGTCATAATGGATCCAGAAATGTGAAACTGAGGATTAATGCATCTTCAACCTGCAGTATGCAATAAAGTATTTGATACAAAATGTTACTGAGATAGTGAGAACATTCATATTAATACCTAATATCTTGATACAACCTGGTTTTAAGTTTCTCTTTTCAGCTAATGATTATGAACTTAATGCAAAATGCCATGGGCAATGAGCTTAAAAATGTCAATAATCTTAAGGCAGCAAAAAGCTTTAAACACTTTGATTTTGATTGTATTTAATAGCGTGAATTTATCTTTGCCAAGAGTAGCAGCTGGAAATTTTACATTAAAATAAATTTTCTTTGGGCTGAAGGATATGAAGTGGTCAAAGCAAAGCTTCAGAACACAACAGATTCAGTGCATTGACAAACAACTTCCTGACACTGGTGACCGAGAAGCCAATCTTGGCACTCACAACACCAGAAGAAATGTGTGGGCAGGTGAAGGTTTTTGCTGCAGGGATCATGAGATGTCATGAGATGGAGAATTCAGAAATTTGAGAGGAGGGAGAATAGCAAAGAGTGGAACTGAAGTTTACAGAGCAGACTTTAACATCTTCAGAGTTCCTTGAAGAGTCACATGGGTCCTGGCCCTGAAGAAAAGATGAGTCCGGGACAACTGTTTAATTTTCAAAGATCACCTCCTTTAAGTTCAGGAATCGTTCAATCTGATATGCAGAGTTCAAAGAAAGGCAGCAAAAGGCCTACATGGATGGCCAGAGAGCTCCTGGCTAAACTCGGATATAAACAGGAAATGTATGGTAAGTGAAAGCGGGGACAGCTGAATTAGGAGGAATGCAGAGCACTGTACAATCATGCAGGGATGAGATGAGGAAAGCCAAAGCCCACCTGGAGTTGAACGAGGTGATGCTGTGCTTTAAGATCAGCTGGAAATTAAGCTCCAAACATCCACTTCCCTTCCCCTGACCCCCTCCAGTGAGAAAGGGACAAAAAGGGAAAGATTATGGGTTGAGACAACAATTTACTAGAATAGTAGTAAGATAAGGAAAACAAACAGTAATAGCTACAATACGAATAATGACAATATATAAATGAGGGTGATTACACCCCAAAAATGCTTATGGAAGTCCACCTATCCTGTTGTTACCATGGCCTCTGACATGCAGCTTTTCCTGAGACAAAGGAGAAAAATGGCAGGTGTTACTGCATCCCTGGTGGCAACATGGCTTTTCCAGAGACAAAGGAGAAAAGGGTGGACATTACCACAGCCAATGAGGAGTTTTTGTCCCACATCTGAGACAGTGGAAAACAATGACGGACAAATCTCCCAAGCCAGTCTGCATGGCTCCACCCAGACTGCACCACTCTGCTCAGCACTTTGCTTTGACAGGTAAAGAGGGAATGAAAATGTCTGTCCTTCCACTCTGCCTTTTCTTCTACTCAAAGCCATGCCCTACAGCGATGACATGACTAGTATAGAATAAATCACCTGTACACATCCATATGGCTCCAGCCTTCTTGACCTTCCCATACCTCCATCCCAGCAAATGCAAAAATAACTCTGTATGGGCTGAAACTGGAACAGATAGGAAATGTGAAGGGTAATGGGGAAAGTTTCTACACCCATGTGAGTTGGAAGAGGACATAGAAAAGGCTGAGGTGCTCAATGCCTTCTTTGCCTCCATTTTTACTGGTAAAAGCAGTCTTCGGGAATTTTAGGCCTCTGAGACTACAGGAAAAATATGGAGTAAGGAAGACTTACTTTGGATGGAGCAAGAAAAGGTCAGCAAGTAGTTGAAAAAACAGGACATACACACATCCATGGAATGACTTAGAATGGCAGAGCTGAAGAAGCTAAATCATGCTATTGCAAGCTACCCTCTCTTGCCTTTAAACATTGTGAGTGATCAGAAGTGGTCCCTGAGGTAAGAGAGCAAATATCACTCCTGTCCCTGAAAGAAGGAGGATCCGGGGAGTTATAGGTTGGTCAGCCTCACTTTAGTTCCTGGGGAGGTGATGGAATAGCCAATGCTGGAAACCCTTGCCAAAGCCAAGGACAAGAAAGTATTTAGGATCAGGAAGGATTTATGAAAGGTAGATTGTGCTTAAACAACTTGACGACCTTCTAATTGAACATTAACAAAGGGAAGTCCTGCCCTTGTGGAGGAACCAACCCAGACAGCAATACATGCTGGGGCCAGTGAGCTGGAAAACAGCTACACAGAGAAGGATGGGGGGTCATGTGCTTAACAAAAAGTTGTCAACTCACCAGCAACTCACCTGCACAGCAAAGACAGCAATTGACATCCTGAGTAGCAACGGGCAAAACAGCAGAAGCAGCAGCTGTAAGAAGGTGATCCTTTCCCTCTGCTCAGCACTGGTAGACTTAAGATACATCTGGAGTGCTGGGTCCAGGTCTGAGTTTCCCAAGCACAAAACAGACCTGGACATTCCAGAGTACCTCCAGCAAAGGACCATAAAGGGACTGGAAATTTTGTCATATGATGATACACTGAGAGAGCTGAGAGTGTTTGGTCTGGAGAAGAGAAGGCTCTTGAAGGATCTTACTGATTTCTAGAAATACTTGGTGGGAAAAAAAGAAATGTACAGACCTAGGCTCTTCTCAGTGACAGGACAAGAGGCAATGGGCACAAAGTGGGTGACATGAAATTCCATCTGAACACTCCAGAAGGTTTTGCTATTCAGTTTTTGGTTTTGGCCTTTTTTTTTTTTTTCCACTGTGGGAGCAATCACTTGTACACGTTGCCCACAGAAGTTCTGGCATCTCAGTCCTTGGAGATAATTAAAGCCAACTACACATGGTCCTGGGCAGCCTCCTCTACCTGACTCTGCTGTGAGCTGGGACATGGGTGATTTTAGTCCTGATGGCTGCTTCCAGCCTTGAGGATTCCATGATCCTCTGGTTCAGGTGAGTAGTATATCACCTTCCAAATTGTCTCTGAACACAATATGAGGGTTTAGGAAACAGAATGATCCAAATAAATGTTAGTGCAATCACAGCTGAATAATACAGGAATCTTGCAACTTCCAGACTTGAGGAAGCTGCTCATTAAACAATAGCACAAAAGGGTGTGGATCTCTCTCTCACAGTGCCTAGACACTGTGATAAGATGAACAGTATAATAATAGTTTTCCTTCTGCTAAATGTATGGTCTGGTTTTAGGAGCTCTGCATCTTTTTGTAAGTTCATATAACTTGCTTTTTTCCACACATTCATCTATCACGTTAATAATTAAAAAACTTCAGGAAATGCAGCACACTCCATGTGGCTACAGTCCTCTCCCACATACTTCAGATATAAAAAGCTGTGCTTGAGCCCTACAAAGTTTTATTCATCTTCTTGCAGAGAAAAGCAGTTAACTGATGGAAAATACCAGTAACATTTTATCAGTATCACCCATCACCATAAAAAAAGGGATGGCAATTTCAGGGTAGGCTACTTCTGCAAGTCTGCTGTTTGAC